CAATCTAAAAGTTTTACGGCAAACTGGTATCAGCCATTCTCGGCACATGCAAATACCACACCGATTGCTTCTAGAACGATTACTCAGAAAGATTCTAGAGATGTTAGTTGGAGCCACGAATTATGCATAAAATTCCGGATTATACGCCGTGCGCAAGTCGATAATATTAGATAACTCTTTCATTTGGCCAACTCCGCGTCTATTAAGGTCGAGAATTATTCAAATGTATGAAAATTATTGGCCAGCACAGAAAGAGCCGCAGACTAGCCATCGACGTGTTGTGCTTCACGATGAATTGATTGATCTGCCATTTAGACCTATGGAAAAAAGTCGATTATCGGGCCATACCTCAATAATCGATTCTTTACCATAGCTTCGAACGGGGAAACATCGATAGTTGATGATATACGCCTCGCCACTGAGACTGGCCACAATAGCGGACGGGCACCGAACATCTCTCTTCCTCCGACCGTGCAGTCCCCTGGAGGTTGGTTTATAATTTAGGGAAATGAAGAGTGGCAAATGCATTGTATCCGAGAATCACAGATCTGGAGATGAATGCAGGAGTTACATGAACGACTGAAATAAAAATGAAGCTACGCTCCAGCCATTGAAATGGGTGCTTTCCCCCCTTGCCCCACTTTCCCCTCGTTTTTCTTTTTTCCACATTCGTTTTACACGTCATTGTTTTGACATAATACATGGCAGCAGAGTCGGGTGTGGATGAATGAGAGAGGATGAAAACCGAGGTACTTCGATGACCACGAGTGGTCGAATAATTGAGCGGTGAGGTTGACCCTCTTGATCAATATCCGATTGAAACTTTCTGGGGAAAGACACGGACACTATATTCTAGCGCCCCGCACTCCTATTTTTCCTATGACGTAAAATTTATTTTTGGAAGTCACCGCTGAGATTCACTAATGTTGAGTGATGGCTGAAGAGTTGAGCAGTTCAGCAATCCTAACGTCAAGTGCAAAAATTCGCCTAGCAAAGTATACGCCGACATTCACCAGTCATCAATCGAGAGCGAATTTTCTCTGATTCAAAATAAGATTGATCACTTTCAGAGTGCGATAGAAGATCGGCTGTATTCTGTTTCGCACCTAAAGTAGATATACGAATTAAAAGAACGGGTCTTCTATTTCAATTTAAAAGCGCGTAAACTCAAGTATTTGGCGTGGACAATAGCACGTTTTAGAATTAAATAGTTTTTTTTTTTTTTTTTTTTTTTTTTTTTTTTATTAATTTTTTCCAAGGGTTTGTTTTGAAGGTTAACAGGTATTCTGCTTAAAATTTCACGAGAGAAACATGCATTGTAGTAGTTAATATCTCATTCTGCCTATCCAGCGGCATCTCTCCAGCGCACGTTAGTCACAATCATTCAGCTTGGGCAAGCCTGCTCACTTCATAAGCTGAAGGAAGACATTTCCTTCAAAATATAGCTCATAGTTAATTTATCTTAAATAATAAATTTTAAATCAGACCCTCAGATAAAAATGATCAAACATAAAGAAGAGAAGAAAAGTTTGATTCCCTCCGTCGATCAGCAGGATGATTTTTCATATGTCTCATCTATTCTCCCATGCTAAGGAAGAACGTCGTATGAGCCTTTTCGCGTTGTCAAATTTCCTTCGATAAAGCGCGAATTTCTTGGTAAGCTTGCGAATTTTAATTAAAATAAAATTTTTTCTCCCAATTTTATGGTAAATTCTGTTCCCAATTTCACCTAAATTTCCTGAAAAGTTCCAACTTTCCTCAAAAATAAACATTTTATCTAAAAAGAATTGACAACTCTCAAATGTCCATACGACGTCTTTCCCTAGCACTGCAGTATTGACCTTAACAGATGCAGACTGAGTTCCGATGAAAGATGTGCATCAGATCTATCAAAGTAAATAGACGAGAAAAGTAAACGATGAGGGTGAAAGGTGGCTTAATCCGTGGTTGATTCGATGTTAAAAGGGAGATTTTGGCGCACACCTCGACAAACAGGTGTCAAAAGCGGTGAGTGATGAGTAAAGAAGCTGTAAGAATCGATTACCCAATCTCTCCGGAGACAAACGGAAAAAGCGAGGACGCGGTAGCGAGGCCCGAAATCTGAGATTATTCCTCGAAACCAAAATGCTCACTGACGAGCTGCTGACAAATTGAGTCAAATTTGTTGAAAGCCTAGCTCTTGCCTCGTTGCCGCGCAATTCCAGGCCTTTACGCTTAACCTTAGATACGCAGGCCAGGTCAATTTGACCACAGCGGGCTGATTGTTGAAATTGATAGACAAAGATATAGATAAAGAAGACAAAAGGGGTATGGAGGGATACTATCGCTGGAAGCGGGTGGTTGCAATGGACAAAGGAGGTAGATAATAGACTAAATAACAGCAACTCACGAGAGAGCCGATGGTTAGTCCATCATTTACCCCCTTAGGCTATTAGAGCCTCTCATTTCAACCAATAGGATCGCTCCATACTCCCTATGTCTTCTTTGTCCATCGATTTGTCTATCAATTTCAACAATCAGTCCGCAGGCTTGCTACAAAACACGTGCCTCGGGAGTTGTAAAAGGCCGACGCATACGAGCTTTAGATACAGGTCTACAAATATATACTAGAACTAAAAGTCAACTTGAGAAAAAAGGGGAAAAATCCCCTGTGGTAGCGGAAAGTACCCATGTGTTTGATGTGATGATGACAATAGCTTTTTAATACTTTCTGAGCGTTGTTGGCAGTTAAACCTTTTTTTCTTAAATATAGTAATTTTCCTTCAATGTTGCACGAAAATGAACGATGTTTGAAAATAAAGAATAAAAAAACTGGTTGAATCTAAGGATACGACCGATTCCTATTACAATCATGTCTTGTCTTTGATCGACAAAAAAGGAAAAGGCAGGGGCTAGAGAGGCACGATCATTTTGCACGCGAACTATATTTTGAATTATTTATTTATTTATTTCTTAATTTATTTTTTGGATTAATCGAAGGATACGACCAGTTTTTCACTTCATTTTCAGCAATCGGTCATTTTTGCTCGCCATCGAATAAATATGAATATATTTAAAAATGTTGAAACGGCAACAATGCTTAAAAAATACCAAAGAGGCTATGGTCACTTTACATCATATCTATGTGTACCTCTAACACTGTTTGGCCGTAAAGCGCAAATTAATAGATTTGTTCCTTTTTTTAGAAGTTAATTAACAAATTTCAACTTGGCAACGCTGTAGCGAGGAGATGAATAGGGGGGGGGGGATGTATAAGATAATGAGTCAATGATTTTTAAAATTGGTTGGTACCCTTTTTACGCCCTATACAATGGGCGGTGAGGAATAGCAGGCCGAGTTAGGTTAGGTTGGGTTAAGCAACTAAACTAACTCCGCGGTGATGCTTAGGGTATCAAGCGAAATTGAAGGCGCTTCCCTGCGCTCTCGCAGATCAGTTTTACAACTCGGGTTTTTGAACCGTAAAATTTGAACCACTGAAAGTCTGGAATGGTTTTACATGTCTGGGCTTTTTTCGTCCCAAAATATTCTTTGATCATTCATCTAATTTGATATCAGCGGCTGGATTTTAAATTTATGTGGAGTTGAGTCCATTTTTTTTAAGAGATTCGTACGTGGGTTCCCTTCATGTGTACGAACCGACACAAGTTGTTTGCGATTTGGAGCATTCGTTTCCCATTACGAATTGTTTATAAATGACGTCAGGCAACCGAAGGGGGGGGGGGGTGTCTACAGGAGTGCATAGCATTTGTCAAAAATTACGTTACAGGCCCGTTAATGACAGTTAGCTGAAATTAGGGAGAGAAGGTTTGAAAATCGGAGGAATTGTAAGGCATTATTCATTGACTCTCCTTACGAGGATTTAGAGGTACATTTAAAACAGAAAAAATGAAGCACCAATTTGATTGGTTAAAACTTTGAATGGTTTTTCTAACTTTTTTTCAACTGAAAAGTTGAAAACACCGGGCCTCTGGACTGGTTTGATTCCATATTTTCGGGCGTTTTTAACATCAAAACAGTCGTAAAACTCTCCTAGTTTGATAGAAAGTAGAGTTGTACCTTAGATTTGATTTTTCTGGCACTAAGTTCCCTTTTTTACGGACGTGGTCGCATATAAATTTTACGAATCGTACAGAAACTTTATTTTTCCAAGAACCATGATTCTTTCACAAAGTTTTTAAATGCGATGCATCGAGCTAACGTTACTTACGAGTCCTAAATGTTTACATGAACATTGACTGAAGCGACAGGCTTGGAAGCAATATCATGAGAATTTTTAAACCTTCTTCACGACTAATACTTGCAGAATCTCATTGTTTGTTGTTAATTTAACGAGCTTTAATACAGCGAACAATGCTGCGAGTCAGGCGGAATATTCTGCCGGTAATACACATTGCAGGACGAGGACTTTGAGAGATTCCCTGACGTTTACTCATTCCGTCTGAAGATACCTTTGAGCGTGAATCAAAAAAGTAAACACTTTTGTTTAAAAAATCGTCTGTTTTGTTGTTCCTGTAAGTCTAGTTCCCTGCTAATAAAACACCGTTCCTGAATGATGGAGGACTCTCAGTTATTGAAGATTTTAGGATTAGGTTGGATTTTTTCTGACCAAAAATTTTGGAGGGTATTGCAAAAAGAAGGTTTCAGTCTTAGAGAATCTTTCTCTGAAACTCCTTATAGACTTTGGTCAATAATTACAGGGGCAATTTTTGATTTTACTGTAAACGAAGGTAGTGTTGAGGATGATTGATTTTTAAAATCTAAAAAATCCTAAATGATCCTCTCTTAGGACACATCACGAGACTATTGGGAAAAACAAGTAAGCACTAACAGCAAAAACTTACCGACTTTGCGTGGGTAGGACAGGTGCCAACCCAAAAACTGGGCAATGGTAATATAATTCAATTATTTTCCTAAACGCTCGCACCAGTCAATTTTTTCCGTAAACCTATATCTAACCCAAAAAAAGTGACTAAAAAGAGGGAAAAAATCGTCAAGCTCACCTGATAGTCGCACGGTTCCATCAGCTCTGCCGAGAGAATTGGTCGACAGGCAGACGTAAGGACCTAGATCTGCAGCGCTTATCCTTCGCAGCGTAAGTCGCAAATTCACTTTGTAGCTCGATCTTGTCTCTTCTACAGCATACTTAGGCCTGCAACATAAATAATTGAATAATGAAGGACACAATATGGTGCGGGAAGGAAAATACCTCCTTTGCGACAGCTAGATTTCAAACACAGACTCAAGTAACGGGCGTCTAGTCATTTGCATTTTACTCCATTACACCAGTTTTTGCAACACAGCAAAACTGATATACTCTAGTTCAGCTGATTCATAAATACACTAGGCACGTAAGGACAGCTCTGAAAAGTCACATTTTTGGTTAAAAATCAATTTCATGGATTTTCAGAAATAATGATTTTACACAAAAAAGGAGGCACTCATTTATTATCGAAGATGTTTCAGTTTTTCCGGTTCAGTTAGACGGCACGGTATTTGAGCAGTAGACACAAAATGAATGAAAATATCAACTTCATGGGGGTGAGACATTTATTAGGAATATTAAGATTTCCCTCGGTGGTATTCCTGGAGGCGCATCATGGTAATTAACTTCAAACTTTTAACGTTCCTCGAGTGAGTGTCCATGAGGAAGGATTTGACAATTGATGTAGTATATTTTAGAACTGACAAGGTATATGTTGGCTTCTGTTGTTGCTCTCGATCAATATTAACTGGAGGATGAGTTGGAAAATTGGAGATTCGATAAATCTCGGAATTTTTTAAGACTAAGAACATGAAAAAAATTTGAAGGTTGATTTAGCATTTATATTGTTAACAAACGTCTGACAAGTTTCAAATGCTGATTTTACATTTAAAAAATGCTAGCTTAACTGCACCCATAGTAAAATGAACAAATTAGAATGTGGAGTTAGTATTTCTGTATTGTAAAATCAGCATTTGAAACTTGACGGATTTTTTTTTTTTTATAATTTAAATGTAAAATCCACATTTGATTCCCGTGAAGACAATACCTGAGGAGATAAAAAGCCATCCTTATTTATTTAAGCTCGTGTAAGAGTAAAGTAAGTCACAATATTTTCAAAACTTTACTCAACGTTTGAGTCAACTCCTTTCCTTACTTCACTTTCCGATTTTGTGGAAAGTCTAGATTCGGATTCCTGTAAAAATTGGCAACAGTTTCCTAGTGTTCCACCTATTTCCCGCGTTTTTGAGCACCCAACCTCCCACTCACTTTGTTCCGGGTGAAGCAGGTCAAACGTATGCGCGGAACAAGTATGCGGCTGTGAACTCGTTTTTTCGGTAACGGCAACGTTGTCAGACTCCACGTCGAAGTTCGTCATTCGATACAATGCACGAGAGCAGCTGACGTGCCATCCGGCAACGCTCGACAGATCCCTCCGGCCCGGCCGAAACGAAACTCATTCATCCTCAAAAGCAGGTTTGGAATCTCTTTCAGCTTGTTCAGAGCGGGCGCGCGCTCGACGAGTAGATCAAAGTGACAAAAGTTGCAAAAGAGGGAACACTGGAAGTGAGCAGCCCGGAAAATGGGGAACGCAGAATGGAACCAAAAGAATGGCCCTTCATACGGAATATTCTGATACTCCCCTGCATAAAATTCAATAACTCAAAAATAACGTTGTTTTTTACAGCACCGTAAGAAGGAGATGGACGGCTTACTCTCTATGACATAATGGCGGGTTTTTTCGGTGGGAGAACAACAATAAAAAGTTTGAGTTCTTACTTATTGCCCAGCGAAAAAAAAAAATCTAAGAATTTATAACCAGCGCCGAATTGATTGGAATTGTGTGCGATGTCCTTTGACTTCTTCAGGGTGTCTAGTATTTTTTCATTTTGAAAAATCCTGATATTTTCCTAATATTTTATAAAAAATTCCTGATTTTTTCATGTTGAAAATTCCTGATATTTTCCTGATTTTTCTCGACTCCTGGCGCGGTAGGCAAATAGCAGTAAGACTTTCTCCGCTGAGGAGATTTGCGTAAGAAAAATTCCTGATAAAACGTCCGATTCTCCGATTTTCCTGATCGGCCAAAATTCCTGATATTTTCCGGTTTTTCTTGATGCTGGACACCCTGTTCTTCGACGTTTTGGTTTTCGACTACGTATGCTTTCTGCGAGTCAATGTAAAATACAGATATTTGATGAGCCAATCTTTCAACGTCGTGGGCGTTGGAGGCGGTCAGTGTCACGCGGGTGGCATCGCGCGGACCGTCCCGGGCGTAGAGATCCCATTAGCCGGCGCTGGCGATATCTGACCGATGATTAGTGGCCGGCTCGTCGCGAGCAGGGTTCGCGGTTGAATGCCGTCGTTTGCCGTCTCCGCGAGTAAATAATGGGAGCGTGCCACCCGACTGCCTACTCGTCGCGAGGCTCCACTGCGGTCCACCGCCGCTGCCGCATCGGAATATGATGTAACGCACACTCCGTCACGTTACTGGATGCGAGAAACCAGAGAGTATGGAAGGTTAGAGGCCCGACTGGATAGGGTAGAATTCAAACAGAAGTTGAGCCTAGAGTCCCTTTATACTGAGAGTCAAGACAATTCGGCTCATGGATGTCACAAACGGGAATAAAGATTACACAAATTGAACGTTTTTCGTAATCTTTGATCGGCCCATTCTCAAATGCCTTTCTCCGTTCCTCCTCTCACTCCGTTTGTTCCTTGCCGAACCCGTAATTCCCTGGTCCATTCCAGATTATAATCTTTGCAATTGGTGAAAATGTAATCTTTATTCCCGTTTGTGACACTGTGGAGGCCTAAAATACGGGAACCAATCAGAAATGGATTCAAATTGTCTTGACTCTCAGTATAAAGGGACTCTAGTTGAGCCGTCAGCAAGAAGTTGCGTACGTTGGCACAAGAGTGCGCGGCGAGCGGGATTCCCATAAACTACTGCGCTGATTGGCCAAGCGAGAGTTGCGGACGGACGATGTATGAAAAATTGCCTACGTGAGGGTGGTCCGGCAGCAACATACCCGCCGCCAGTCGCTGGAAAACAATAGAAAATAGTAGTTGCGTACGTCGCCAGCGAGCGCGCTGCGAGCGCTTCTGTTTCAATTACCTAGCATTGAGTCGGGCCTCTAACCTTCCATACTCTCTGCGAGAAACGCTGGAGTGAGTAACCATGAGAGCAGTGCCGGTACAGAGAACTACAAAGCAAATGCCGTGATGCAACTATTCGAACACGTGGAGCATGCTAGGAGGTATCATCCGAGTTTGAAGGCGTTTTAAAGTCGTTCCGTGTCAAACTACACTGAACAAAATCGTTCTGTTCACAGGGCTCTCGCACTTTCTTTGTTACAGCTACAGAGGTTTCCGTTATGAGGACAGGATACTCTGTGCCCACGACCGAAGTTCTGTTCTTCCGACAGAAAAGTTCTGTAAGTATAACAAAGAAAGTGCAGGAGCAAGGGCCGGTCTTACCGACTTGCCGCCTGCAAGCTGCAGCTGCCTGTATTTTTCCGCCCCCTTCTCATTCGTTAAGTGAACGTGCCGGTGGGGGAGGGGCGTATGAGACGCGTTTACTCGTGTTGAGCACATTTTTTGTGAAAGCCCTGTCAACACTGGCAAAAGTTCACGGAACTTTACGCGAAAGTTAAATTCCGTAAACCCATCCCTGTTTGGACAAGGCCTTTATTTATGACAAACGAACGAAACAATTATGAGAGAACAAACATAAATGTGGTTTAATAATTTTAACTTCCACCGCTGCGCCGACCGCACTGTGTTTGGCGCAATGCGTGAAGTATTCATGCAGTCTTGTAGGCGCTATGCGTTTCACGCCGACCGTTGCTGACCGCACTGTTTGACGCAATGCGTGAAGTATTCATGCAGTCTTGTAGGCGCTACGCGTTTCAAGCCGACTGCTGCAGGCTGACCGCAGTGTGTTTGACGCAATGAGTGAAGTATTTATGCAGTCTCGTAGGCGCTATGCGTTTCATGCCGACCGCCGCCGCGCCGAGGGCTTCTCCTTTTTAAATCTCAGTCCTCGTCATCATTGCTCTCTGCGCCGCTCCGCTCAAGGTCAAATTACGTGTTTGGTTTCTCTCTTAATTCGACTAATTAAAGATGTTGTCTCTTGTATCGCCGAAAGACGACAAAATTAGAAATTACTATACTTTTACTCTCAGGATATGAGAGATTTTGTCGCCTTTTCTCGTTTGTAACTTATTTACTGAATCCGATTTTCTCTTCTTTTTTTTTTAATACCTACATTAAAAAAGATTGCAAAATTTGCCGTCCCCTACATTTTGCCGCCATGGGCCGCGGCCCATGTGGCTACCTAGCACACGATTTGATTAAAGCAGATTATGGTGTTTCTAGTGATTAGACCTGGTGATTCTAGTGATTAGAATTTTTTGTGACCAATGCTCCTTAAAATCATCACTATCTTGGTTTGGAGTTAATATCAGGCATGTTTGTTGCACGAATTGGATCCTGTGCGAAAGTTTGAAGAGGAAACATTACATCAGCGTATGCATATATTTGTATTTTGTGACCCATTGACTCTACTGCAATGAGTTCGTAAAACTTTAGTCAGTAAGTTTTTTCTCTGATGTCCTCGTAGGGTTTTTTTAAACCGCGAAGTGGGCGCAGAGCGGCCATCGCGGATTCAACCGCGCAGTGGCCAGGATAGACCCCGCGCTATTGTCCACGGATCATCATGTCAATCCTGGGCTCCCTTAATTTTTGAGCCTAAACAGAGTCGCTCGTGGGCGGCCTCGTTGGACGGGCGGAAAATCTCGCGGACAGAGCGCGGAGCCGAGGACTTAGGTAATTGAATAAGACAAGAGCGGAGCCAGCAGAGGCCGCCTTAATGAGCTGAGCTTAAGCCTCGCTTCGGAAAACGCTAATTGCAACGGCCAGGCCAGGGTCGCCGCCCCCTCCCCCCTGGTGCCCCGCGGCACTCGGGCCCAATCTCCGCGACTCAATAGAAAACGAAATTAATCATGTTCCCTTACTTATCGGGCGGCCGGCCCATCTTTTCCCAGTGCGGAAGATATTCCCTCCGGCTCGATTCTTGAATGTTTATCGAATGACCATATGAAAGCGATGAAATCTATCGATCTGGGTCGATTGATATCGATTTAAAAATCGAATTGCTGGTTCCC